ATCACAAGGAAAACTGTAAAAAAATTTTTACTGAATAAAAATGAAGATACAATATATCCAAAATGATGGGATGCAGATAAAGCAGTGCTTAAATGAAAATTAAAGTTTTAAACACCTATGTCAGAAGAGAACAAAAATCTCTTATCAATAACCTAAGCTCCCAGTTTAAGAAACTAGAAAAAGAAGAGGAAAATAAACCTAAAGTAAACAGAAAAAACAAACAATGAAGATTAGAGCAGAAATCAATGAAATATAAAACAGAAAAATAATAGAAAATAGATGAAACCAGAAATTGGTTCTTTGAAAAGATCAGTAAACTTGAGAAACTTTTATCTAGACTGACCAAGAAAGAGAGAGGGCACAAGTTACTGAAAATCAGGATTGAAAGAGGGGAAATCACTACTGATGTTACAAAAATGAAAAGAATCCTAAGGGAAAATTATAAGCAACTGTATGCCACAATATTAGACAACTTAGACGAGGTTGACAAATTCCTAGAAAGACATAAATCGCAAAAATTGGCTAAAAAAAATTGGAATAGGCCTATAATAAGTAAAGGAATGGTATTAATAATTTAAAATCCTCCCTTAAAGAAAAACCCAGACCCAGACGGTTTCATTTACATATTCTATTAAATATTAAAAGAAGAAATAATGACAATCTTTTACAAAATCTTTCAGAAAATAGGGGGAATACTTCCTAATTCATCCTATGATTCAAGTATTACCTTGATACCAAAGCCAGAAAAAGGACATCACAAGAAATCTACAAACCAATATTCTTCATGAACCCAGACACAGGAATTCTTTTTTTTTTTTTTTTTTCAGATTTTGAATTTTTTTAAATTGTACTTTAGATGACGGTTTACAGAACAAACTAGCTTCTCTTTAAACAGTTAGTACGTGTATTGTTTTATGACATTGGTTAACAATCCCATGACATGTCAACACTCTCCCTTCTCAACCTTGGGTTCCCTATTACCACATTTCCTGTCCCCTCCTGCCTTCTTGTCCTTGCCCCTGGGCTGGTGTGCCCCTTTAGTCTAATTTTGTTTAATGGGCCTGTCTAATCTTTGGCTGAAGGGTGAAACTCAGGAGTGACTTCATTACTGAGCTAAAAGGGTGTTCAAGGGCCATACTTTTGGGGTTTCTCCAGTCTCTGTCAGGCCATAAGTCTGGTCTTTTTTTGTGAGTTAGAATTTTGCTCTACATTTTTCTCCAGCTCTGTCCAGGACCCTCTATTGTGATCCCTGTCAGAGCAGTTAGTGGTGGTAACCAGGCACCATCTAGTTGTACTGGACTCAGACTGGTGGAGGCTGTGGTAGTTGTAGACACAGAAATTCTTTTTTTGTTTGTTTGTTTATTGTTATAGTTTAAGTGAAAGTTTACATTTCAAGTTGGTCCCTCATACAACAATTTATACGTACATTGTAATATGACCCTAATTGCTCTCCCTATACTGTGACAGCACACTCCTTTCCACCCCTGATTTCCCATGTCCATTCAACCAGCTCCTAACCCTCTCTGCCTTCTTATCTCACCTCTGGACAGAAGCTGCCCGTTTAGTCTCTTGTACCTACTTGAGCTAGGAAGTACACTCTTCACGACTATCATTTTACGTCCCACAGTCCAGTAAAACCTTTGTCTGAAGAGTTGGCCTTGGAAATTGTTTTAGTTCTAGGATGACAGACAGTCTGGGGGCCATGCTTTCTGGGGTTCCTCCAGTCTCAGTCAGACCATTAAGTCTGGTCTTTTTACTAGAATTTGAGTTCTGCACCCCATCTTTCTCCTGCTCCATCCGGGACTCTCTGTTGTGTTCCCTGTCAGTGCGATCATTGGCGGTAGCCAGACACAGTCTAGCTCTTCTGATCTCAGGTTGATGAAGTCTCTAGTTTATGTGGCCCTTTCTGTCTCTTGGGCTAATATTTTCCTTGTGTCTTTGGTGTTCTTCATGCTCCTTTATTCCAGGTGGTTGGGACCAACTGATGCATCTTAGATGGCCGCTTGCAAGCTTTTAAGACTCCAGACGCCACTCACCAAAGTGGGATGCAGAACATTTTCTTAATAAACTTTGTTATGCCAATTGACCTAGATGTCCCCTGAAAGCATGGTCCCCAGATCCCCACCCCTGCTACTCTGTTCAGCGAAGTGTTTTATTGTATTCAGGAAACTTCTTAGCTTTGGTTTAGTCCAGTTGTGCTGACTTCCCCTGTAGTGTGTGCTGTCGTTCCCCTCACTGAAGATAATTCTTGTCTACTACCTAGTTAGTGAATAACCCTCACCATCCCTCCCCAACCCTTGTAACCATCAAAGAATGTTTTCTTCTGTATTTAAACCTTTTCTTGAGTTCTTATAATAGTGGTCTTATACAATATTTGTCCTTCTGTGACTTACTAAATTCACTCACCATAATGCAACAGAAAAATTCAAATATTTGAATCCCAAAACTCTTTAATGCTGCCTGGGGCTCCCAGGAACTAGGTATGATGGAGTCTCTTCAATACACTGATTAAGGATTTGGTCTTTTAATTAGTTTTTTTTTTAAAAACAGCTTTACTGAGATACAATTTACATACTATAGAATTCACCCAATGTAAGTGGACAATTCAAAAATTTTTAGTAAGTTTATAGAGATTATATTGCACAATCCAGTTTTAGAACATTTCTATCCTGCCCCCAAAAAGTTCCCTTGTGCCTGCTTGCAGTTAATCCCCACTTGAACTCCCAGCTCAAGGCAACCATTGATCTGTTATCTGTCTTTATAAATTTATCTTTTCTGGACATTTCATATAAATAGAATCATATATGACTGAGACTAGAGGAACCCTAGAAAGCATGGCCCCTGGACTCTGTCAACCTAGAACTAAAACAATTCCCGAGGCCAACTCTTCAGACAAAGATTGGACTGGACTGTGGGACATAAAATGATACTCATGAAGAATGTGCCTCTTAGCTCAAGTAGATACATGGGACTAAATGGGCAGCTTCTGTCCGGAGGTAAGACGAGAAGGCAGAGAGAGTTAGGAGCTAGTGAATGGGCATGGGAAATCAAGGGTGGAAAGGAGGAGTGTGCTGTCACAGTATAGAGACAGCAACTAGGGCCACATAACAATGTATGTATAAATTGTTGTATGAGAGACTAACTTGAAATGTAAACTTTCATTTAAACTACGACAATATCAATAAATAAATAAATAGAATCATACAATATACAGTCTTTTGCATCTGGCTTATTTTACTTAGCATGTTTTTGAAGTTCATCCATGTTGTAGCATATATCAGTAGCTCGTTCCTTTTTATTGCTAAATAGTATTCCATTGTACGGATATACCACATTTTACTTATCCATTTACCAGTTGACAGACATTCGGATTGTTTCCACTGTTTGACTATTAAGAATAACGCTGCAATGAATATTCATATATATGTCTTTGTGCATATATATGTTTTCATTTATCTTGGGTCGATTTATAGGAATAGAATTGCTGAATTATATGGCAAATTTTTGTTTAATTTTTAGGAGACTGCCAAGCCATTTTCCAAAGGGGCTGTACCATTTTGCATTTCCACCAGCAGTGTATGAGGGTTCCAGTTTCTCTACATCAGAATTTGGTATTACAATCAATCTTTTTGATTATAGTCATCCTAGTAGCCGTGTTGTGATATCTTGTGTGACTTTAATTTGAATATTGGTGTATAGCACCTTTTTATACCTTATTAGTCATTTGTATATCTTCTTTGTTGAAATATCTATTCAAATCTTTTGCTCATTTTTAAATTGGATTGTCTTCTTATTATTGAGTTGCAAGAGTAATAATAGATAGAAGTCCTTTATCAGATATATGATTTCCAAATATTTTCCCCCAATCAGTGGTTTGTCTTTTCCTTTTCTTAGCAGTATCTTTTGAAGTGCAAAAGTTTTTAATTTTGATGAAGTCCAATTAATTCATTTTTTTCTTTAATGTACTTTTGATGTTATACCCAAAAACTTTTTGCCTAACCCAAAATCATCAAGATTTTCTCTTACTTTTTCCTAGATTTATAGTTTTAACTCTTACATTTATATCTGTAATATATTTGAACTAATTTTTGTGTATGATGCGAAGTAAGGATCTAAAATTCATTATTTTTTGCAAGTGGATATTAAATTGTTGAAAAAAACTATCCTTTACCTTATTGAATTGTTTTGGCACCTTTGTAAAAGATCAATGATCATAAATGTAAGCATTTATTTCAGGGCTCTCAATTCTGTTTCATTGATCTATATGCTTATTCTTGAAACAATGCCATGTTGTCTTGATTATTGTGAATTTATAGTAAGTTTTGAAATTGAGAAATGTAAGTCTTCCAACTTTGTTCTTCATTTAAAAACAAAATTGGATATCCTAGGACCTTTGTATTTCCATATAAATTTTAGAATCAGTTTGTTAATTTCTACAAAAAAGCCCACTGGGATTTTGATAGGGATTGCACTGAGATTATTGATCAATTGGGGGAAATTTTCCATCTGCATTTTAATGATGAGCTACCATCTTGACTAGATTCTTTCAATCCATGAGCATGGAATTTAAATCTTCTTTAATTTCTCTCCACAGTGTTTTATAATTTTTACTGTATAAAATTTGCAGTTTTGTTGTTGTTGTTGTTAATTTTGTATTTCTCACATACGGGGTTGCCATGAGTCGGAGTCAACTCAACAGCAACTGGTTTTTATCATCAGTCCTCAGCGACAGCCACGGCTGTGGGAGAGGCTATCTCAGGGTAAGCTGATCTGTCTTTGGTGCTATCCTTTGTGAAGAGTGATAAAGGAGGGAAGGAAATAACAGAAAGAAAAGGGAAGAAGAAAAGAGAAGGGGAAACAGAGGGTGATGGGAAGAGAAGGAAACAGGGAGAAGACAAGTGAACTTTTGCAATCATTGTTCTCTTAGAATCCCTTTTACTGACAGTCACTCCACTTAAGAAATAGAGACTAGACTCCAACAATATAGGTCTGATATTTACCTTCTGAATCCTTGTCGTAGAAAACACCATGTGGATGCAAAGAGTAAGGCCGGGAAGCAAAGTTCTTTAAATGGACAACCATCACATCACCCACTTCAGCCCTCAAAATAGGGCCCAGGAATCCGAGCCAGGAGGGTTTGCGGATCTCCGTGGAATAGGTCCCATCTGTGTAGTGTCTGTAAACGGCCTTTTTGTAAATGCTGCCTATCCTGTTGGGCCCTCTTTCAAGAAATAAGGTTGCAAGTCTAAAAATAAGAGGGAAAATATTTTATAACCAATATTAGAAGAGAAATCCTAATAGCTTACCATAACAGTTCATAAAGTGCTTTCATGTATGCTATCTCATTTGGTGTTCACCAATACCCTGTAACCTCTACAGAGCTGGTAGGATTATCCTCAATTTATTGATGTGGAAACTGAGGCTCAGAGAGTTAGGTGATAAGTGGAAAGTCACAAATAGTATTCACAACCAAACTAAAAAAAAAGTGCTCTGTAGTCACACTACCCATTTGTCCCTTTGCATTCAACACGTCCCCCTTCACTTTTTCATTTAATAAACACTTATTATGCATTTACTTCATTCCCAGCACTTCGCTAGGTGCTGGGGAGGAATACAAAAGAGTCTGCAGTCTAAAAATGAAAAAAGTAACCATACAAAGCAGTATACGATTAAGTGCTGACTTAATAGTTCAGAGAAGGGAAAGATTGCTGTTGATTGAAGAGGTTAAAAAAATACTTATGAAAAACATAGGAATTAAGAGGAAACAGGATTGGGTAACAAAAAGGAAAAGGTAGGACACTCTAAGCAGGATGCAGCATGAGCACCGAGGAAGAAGATGTGCTCATAATTTGGGGAGAAAATAGGTCTAGGGCACAGGACTGGGAAGGTGAGGAGCATGTCAGAACTAGGAGTAGATGGATAATGAACTTTAAGCTCAAAGAATTTAGAATTTATCTTGGAAGCACTGAGGACTCTAAATGGTCTGCTGTGAATAAAGCCCAAGATGCCAGATGGGGAGATGCAAGACTTTGGCCTGGAAAATATGAAGCCAGACTATGAAAGAATTTGTAGGCTATGCCAAGAAGCTGAAAGTGGTACATAGGGTTGCTATGAGTCAGAACCAACTCAATCACACCTAACAACAACAACAAACAAGACAGAAGTTTATTTTTCTCTTAAGTTCTAACAGTCTGGTGCGGAGACACAGGTTCATTCCATCTTGTTGTTCTGCCTCCCATAAGGTGTTGCCTCATCTGTGTTATCCAAGATGGCTCACCACCACCTGTGACTTAAACCTTCTCCTACTGTGAGAACTGAAGCAGCTGTTTGCTCCTCTGATCTCTTAAATATTGCTATTTTCCTTTCTCCTCTAATCAACTCCTACCTGCCTTCATCATCCATATGACTATTCCCTTTTGTTTTTCCCTTTCCCATTTATTGTACTTTCTATTCTCTTTAATTCACTTTCAATAATTCAATCACATAATTCATTCAAAAAATGTGTTAAGTATCTACCAGGGGTTATTCAGGACTTCCCTCTTCTACCCTTCTGCAACCTCCCCAAACTTTTCTGATTTTTTTTTCTCCTTCTCAATTCTTCCCACCAGGAACCTATCCCAGTCTTTCATAGAAGGGTATGAATCAATGTCTGTATGAATCAATGTCTGTAACAGAGTAATTAGGCAGCCCATCCGGGCCAAAATGAACAATTCATGCAGTTCTGTCCAATGCAGGTCCACAGTGAAGTTAGCATAATTCTAGGAAGGTTAGACAACACTTGAATCTAGAACATCTTAGAAGATCATCTATGACATGGCAGGGATGGGCCTAAGCAGAGAAAGGCCACTACTCCAGGGATCATAGGGCCAGCCCTCCCAGAGGCAGAAAGCTCTCTCTCCCCATAGGTACAGAGTTCAGCTTCCAATCCAGATAATGAGATCAACAAGACAAGAATCCTGTCAAAATGGTCACAGAGAATTACAACAATTTAGATAGTAAAAGCCTGTTGCTGGGTGCTGTCAAGCCGATTCCGACTCGCAACCCCAGATGACAGAGCAGAACTGCCCCATAGGGTTTTCTGGGCTGTAATCTTTACAGGAGCAGATTGCCACATCTTTCTCCCATGGAGCTGCCAAGCTCTTAACCATTGCACCACAAGGGCTCCAGAACAGACCTAAATGTTCCTCAATTAGTGACTGGGTAAATTATGGCATGTTCATGCCACATAGCCATAAAAAAGAGTAATGTTGTTCTACAGGTATGATTACCAAGATACTAAATGAAGAAAGCAAACTGTGGAACAGCATGTAAAGTATGATCCGACTGTATTTTTTTAAAATGATGTACATATATGTGTGTGCTAAGGAAACATCTGGAAAGTGTCAAGAGAAACCACTAAAGTGGAGCCTCTGGACAGTGGGGCTAAGGTCCCAGGTAGGAGTGAGGAGGTGAGGGTTTACTTTCACTCATCCTCTTCTCTACCATGGCAGTGTTTTACTCTGTACCTACGTACCCACTTCGATAGTAAAAACAAACTACATTTTATTTAGAAAAGAGGGCCCAGGCTGTTTGGCCACCAAGGGGCCAAAGTTCTCTTGTGTGCCTTCTACCTCTAGAAGCAAAGGTGCCACCGTAAAGCAATGCCCACCCCCTGGGGTACATTCTCCCCCAAAGGGGGAATGGCATCCTAAGTGGCGAGTGCAGCACCTGTCCACACAGTCAGAGGGAAGAGAATCCCTGCTCAACTTCGGGCTTGACAAGTCCACCCTCTAAGGCACTGGGACTAAGGTCTTGAGCTTGTCTGTGCTCTCTGCCTCTGTGTATCCACTGAGGCTGCATATTATGCATTTGTAACAGTAGAACAGAAGCTCCAGTCCTTATGAGTCCTAGAAAAGGCATTGTTTGCCCAAGAAATCAAGCAAGTGAGTAACCACAAGGGAGCATCCAAAGGAAGCAGACTCTGATTTAAATAGAGTGCATTCATTAGAATGCCAGCGCTGGTGAGCTGTGTGTTGTTTATGGTGTAGCCTCACGACGTCCCCGTTGTGAGGGACTGAGCAATCGCTACCCCTTGGGGATCTCCACAACCTACATTCTAACATTTTGACTCAAGTTGAGGAGGTATCTATTTCCTTACGTGCAGGAATCCAGTCGGGTTGAGAAGTTTCACATTAACAACTGCTTTACAGACAAAATGGGGGTTCATGGTATCCAAGCTGCCAAGACCTGGGGGCAGTCCTATGAAAGGAGAAACCTTCCAAAAGCAGGCAAGATTAAAACCATTGCCAGAATGAACCTTTCTGTGGGAATTATCCGATACTGCAGAGGGGGACTTCCAGGTAGATTCTGAGGAGTGCCTAGCTCACAGGTGGTGTGATCACCTCACATTACCAGCACCCCCAATAGGATCTTTTAGTGGGATTATTCCCATCCCTCATCATTGAACCATTGGTGAGCATCTACTATGTATGGAACATTAAACTGGAAATCGTGGCTGAGATGTATTCATCTCATTCCTGGCATGAAAGAGACTTACCACCTGATGAGGAAGACAAACCACCACCTATCTGTCAGTTTGTCCCACTATGGTGGCTTTCGTGATGTTGTGATGATGGAAGTTCTGCCACTAGTATTTCAATACCTGCAGGGTCACCTATGGTGGACAGACTTCAGACTTAGATAGATTAGGAAGAAAGCCCTGGTGATCTACTTCTGAAAATTAGCCAGTGAAAACCTTATGGATCACAATAGAACCCCGTCTGAATCACTAGCTTTTGGCATGTCATCAGGAGAGATCAGTAGCTGGAGAAGGATACCATGTTTGGTGAAGAGGGCCAGAGAGGGTGAGGAAAACCCTTGGTGAGATGGTTGGCACCAATAGCCTCAACAAGGGACTTGAACCTGCCAGCAATTGTGTGGACTTGTACATAATGTCACCATGAGTTGGAGTCGACTTGATGGCAGCTATCTATCTATCATCTTATCTATCTATCTAGACAAACATATGCATTGGCGAATAAATAGCAGCTCATCACTTATGTTAACTGCCAATTAAATAGTAGAGGCCCTGAATGTAGAAGGGTATTGTTAGCTTTAACAGAGAAGACAGAACCCCAGGGAATGGGGAGGAAACCTGTGTAGATAAGCTGCAAAGTAACACCAGCAGAAGGTGTGGTCAGAGCAAATGTGTGAGATCATTACAGTCACAATACTGACAATCAATGCTGTCTGAACTTGAGAAGGGACACTGTTCACTGAGGAGAAGCAAGACTAGATTGGGACAAGTGCCACTTGGCAAAAAGAAGAATGGAGATGGTTATCATTACACACTGCAACTCAGTACAGCCACGCCCTCCCTAACTAGATTAATAATTTTTTAAAGCCATCCAGGTGATGAGCTGCTACACACATTCTCTCACCCTGGTTCCCCAGCATCACCTCAGTTTTAAGTTTTTCTTTCTCCTACTTCATTTCCACAGAAGCTCCTTAGAACACACATGGCAAGTCATGGCAACACTATGTGTGTCAAAGTAGAACTGTGCTCCATAGGGTTTTCAATGGCTGATTTTTTGGAAGTAGATCTCCAGGACTTTTTTCTGAGGTTCCTCTTGGTGGACTCGAGCGTCTAACCTTTCAGTCAGCAGCTGAGCACGTTAACTGTACCACCCAGGGACAGATGATAGTTTAAAAAAAAAAAAAAAAAAAAAAAAAACCTGTTGCCATCGAGTCAATTCAGACTCATAGTAACCCTATAGTAACCTATAGGACAGAGTAGAACTGCTCCATACGGTTTCCAAGGAGTGGCTGGTGGATTCAAACTACCAACCTTTCGGTTAGCAGCCTGAGCTTTTAACCACTGGAATCCATGCAGTAAAGGGAATGAGAATGAGCTTGAATGTCAGTTCTCCCACACTCTGGCTGTGAAATCCTGGGGAACTGACTTAACCTCTTTGAAACCCAGTTTCCTCAGCTGTAAACCAGGGACCATGATAGGGCTATTGTGAGGATTAATGGAAATAAAGTGTGCAGGCTCACACACAGCATCTGGGACAGTGGGTGCTCAATCATTTCTGGCAAAACTCTAATTAGAAAAGAGCAATATACAGCCATTTGAGGAGTCTTTTCCACAGAGCTCTCGCTCTCCAGAGAACTCCTCAAGACAGGAGAGTTACAATAATGGCTAGCATTTACTGAGGACTAACCAAGTGCCAGGCACCATCTCTCTGCATTGAGAGGTCCCATGTC